TTTTTTTTTTTTCTTTTTTTTTTGTTCCCTACTACACCCAGAAATAGTTACATCAGGTCCTGACAAATTCAAACCCTGGGTACCTCAGATGCAAAGGTTGATCCAAAAATCCGAATGATTTCACCCTTTAAGGCCCATCACCATCGGGACTGGATTTCTGAGATGGTCTAAGCCTCAGTTTGCCGAAGCAATGCGGATCTGCCCCTGGCTAAGACACCAACCCCAGAGTGGATCCATAGGAAACACGCACCTCCAGGCACATCCAGCAAGGCAATAAAAGCACAGCAGAGAATAAGGAATCCCCACATAGAATATTACAAATGGCACAAAACCAGGAACCCAAAACCCGACCCTCTTTTTCTTTTTCTTTTTTTTTTTTTTCTTTTTGGCCTCAAAAGACAACCACTCGCATTTAGAAAGTGGCAGGAAAAATAAATAAATTTAAAAAAAAAAAAAAAAAAGGAATAATAAAGTGCATAAACCCCCAACACCTTAGGGGCCAAAATTAAATATTCATTGCAGCCAAGTGCTCTCTTCTCTCCCAATGATATTGTCAAGGTCAACCTGAAAGCTGCATTTCCACCCTCCCCGGGCAGYGGCTGGGAGAGCACAAGCCCCCAGGCACCCTCCGGGGTTACCCGCGGCCTCTGCGCAGTGACCAGAGCCCTTTGCTGTCCCCAAAGTCCCCAAGCCCTCAACGTCCCCTCCCTTGGACTCGCTGCCTCCAGGTGCTCCCCGTGCCCAGCCCTGCTCCTCCCTGAGCATCCCCCCCTGGAAAAGCAGCGGGATTAGGGGAACCGCGAGGAAGAAGAGGGGGGACGGAGCAGGCAGGACCCCGCGCCAGGAGCCCCCCAGGAGCACGGGGGAGGCCTTACCTCTGCGCTCCGGCTCCCGCGGCGGCGGCGGGGAGGAGGAAACTGACGAGCTGCCCAAAAGCGGCGCGGGGAAACGGGCGAATTCGCGGCAGAAACTGACCACGTTCCCGCCCTGAAACTGACCAGGGGGCGGCGGGGAGGCAGCGGCAGCCGCCGGGCCCCCCCAGCCCGCTGCCCTCGGCTTTCCCGSCCCCCCCGCCCGCAGCACGGGCCGCTCGCGGCTCCTCCGCAGGCGGCGGCGGTGGCTGCGCCCCGGGCGGCCGCTTTCCGCGCCCCCCGCCCCGCGGATGCGCGGTCGGTTCGGTTCGGCCCGGCCCCGCTCCGCGCAGTCGGTTCGGCGCCGCTCCGCGGACGCAGCGCCGCTCGCCTCCCCAAAAAAATTAAAAAGAAAGAAAAGAGAGAAAGAGAGGGGGGGGGAAAAAGGACACGCAGCCCCTGACGCAGGCTTGAGTCACCGGGGCTGCACGTCAAAGCCGGGGGGTGGCTGTTTCCCCCCCCCCGCCAGGTGAAGGGGGGGTGCCACACCACGTATTTTTGGCATTGAAAAGATAGTGGTGAGTTCTGGCAGGGCAGGTTCAGCCTTGCTACTCTACCCTTGGTGTGGGGAAAGGCAGAAGCTTTTTATAAGCACCCACCCACCACCCAGCACCAAAGTGYGGCCCCCAGAGGTACCCCCATGACCACTGGGGCATCTCCACCCTTGGCGAGGGCAGTGCTCTGAGGTGAGGGGCCCGCMCGATGGGATTCAGCCACCACTTTCCTCCTGGATAACTGGGTGCACTGGAGGCATCTCTTAATCTCAAAGTGTGTCACGGGGAAGGAGCTGGGTCAGGACCCGAATTCAGCCTCCCTGCAAATCTAGAGACGTCCCTTTGAAGCCAGTGAAGCTCAGGGATCATGACACCTGATCATGACATCTGGACATGSAGGACACCATGTCCCCAGTTGTGCAGGTTCCCTTCAGTGCCAGAGCTCAGCACGGGAGCAGCACCGGAGCAAGCAGGGCTAAGCTAAGGGCATAAGCCAAAGSTGGAGGACAAGGTAGTAGCACCCATTCAGCCACCCTTAAAGCCAATGGTGAAATTCCACGTGCTAAAGGGTCCCACTCAGGAGTTCGATTCCCCTCCAGCAGGATACACTGGGAGAGAAAGTCATTAGGATTTCAGGAATTTCATTAGGAGGAAGAGAGTAAATAAACACATGACCCAAGCCCTTCCAGGCAAGCAAACTCCAAATCCAGCTTCTTACCCGGGATTAATTTCTCACACAGCCATTTAGGCTGCTTTGATGCAGTTCCTGCTGTGTGCTCTGCAGAGAACCTCACACCTGTAGGGACGAGCCCTCCCCTTCAACTCATCACTACCTCACAGCCCTGCCCTCCAAAAGCAGCTAATTTAGTTAATCAAGAAAGCCAGGGAGATGTTATGATTTCCTGGGGATAAAGTTTTCCAAGGAGCTAATTGGTGGCTTGATGCCTAGTGGAATTGGTTAAGGTCCCCTAGTCCTGAAGGCTTGAGTTCAGCCCACCCAACGGTCTCTGCTCTGGGTGCTGCTGGTGCCCACGATGCTGCTAGTCATGGCCAGCGCTTGGCATCGTCCAGGGCCACCTGAAGCCCCTGAGAAATCATAGCAGGAGCCAAGGTGCATCCGGAGGAGACAGGCCCGTGGGTGGCTCAGACCTCCAGYCCCAAATCACACTTCCTTGAGCTTTCTGTGCACATTGCTGTCCTTTGGATGCGCTTCTCTTTCCAGCTCACTAGGTAGAAGGCGATCGATTCCCATAGGTACCCGAGAGTTCAGCCAGAGCTTGCATGGAGATCTAGAGCCTAAGGGCAAAAGCAATGGTCACACGGTTTTCCTTTCTGCCCCCCTAGAAGAAATAAGGCTGTTTTCCAGTAGAGCTGCTCCTCTACCCATCCCATCCCCAAGCCGGGCAGGAATAAGGCTGTTCAACCCCCACTTTAAAGAGGAAGATGGTGCACACCTGGCTCCTGTTTTCCTACTGCTGCTGGAGCTCTGCAGCTGGATCAAAGCTCGGATGCATCCCTCGCTGCRCAGTGGCTCTGACGCTGGAGGGACGAAGGCAGCAGCTCACAAGTGTTGGAAGTCGGTCCATCCCTTTAGCATTGCCTCTCCTGTGGAATTAAGGATATCTTTCGGCAAGGCTACACAGCCACCTTGGTAAGTGTAATACTAGTAAACTGAGGCACAGCCAGGTTTCCCAGGATGCAGCAACACTAAAACGGGATCTAGGCTGTACCATGAACCACTTCCAAACGAAGAGGAAGCCTCATGTGTAGCCACAAAAACATCACATGAGCCTGGCCAAGGGAAGAAGCTGGCAGTGATGCCGGCTATAGCAGAAGATGCCGGAGGGGAAAAGCAAGAAACTTGGGATATAGCTGCAGTTCTCAAGGATCTGCTCCAGAGGCTCGGCCTCAGCTAGGGAAAAAACAGAGAGCATCCCCGTACTTTTCCAATGGCAATCCAAGGAGGAGCAGCGTGGCTATGAGTAATGCCTCTCCTGGAAGAACAAGGCCCCGGAGCTCAGCGAGGGGCTGGTGCCGGAGACGGACGCGTTTCCATAACTGCTCGAGCAGCAGCCTATAAATAACCGCCCGCGTTCGGCGCCGCTCTCATGTGACCCTGCTCTCCTGTCACCATCTGTCACCATGGCGATGGCATCATGGGGCCACCAGCCATTCATTCACAGCTACCCGCGGGGGAGGCACCCGGGGGCCCGCTTTAAAGGAGGGAAGCTGCGGATTCGGGACAGGAAAATTACCGAGGGCAGGTTTAGGCGGGTGCAAGCGACAGCGTTGCAGCATCTGGAGAGTGAGACGAGCWCGGGCGGACAGTTCCTGGGAAGAGCAGATCCCACCTGCACCAATCCCTGCCGTCCGGAGCATCKCAAGGGTCCTGCAATACGTATTTTCCCACCTCCAAATCCCTGCTGGTCTCAGGTTGCACCTTCCTCCCCGCCTGCCTTCTTGATTTATTACCTTATTGCCGGTGCAAATGCTCCCTGGCCTCAGTTTCCCCCAGACAAGGTGCAAAAAGGGCTAGCGGATGAGCAGGGCAAGCGCCGGTGTGTTGAGAGGCACATTTTCCACCTAAGCTGTCAAGCTGACCTATATTCAAGTGACAATAATCTACAGGGATAAGGCCCTCTGCTTTCTAAATGCATATTCGCCTGCAAAGCCCCTTTCTGCCAATGTTTATTCCAGGCCTGGTGCCGCTAACGTGGAGGGAAAGGAAGCCAGAAAAGCGGAGACCAGCCTCCCGTTTTACCAGGATCTATTGGGGGTCTTAAAAACCCCAAAGAGCGACCCGGGGAGCCCATAGGGAACAGAAGACCACCCCATTTCACCCGGCGCCGGGTGAATAAAAGTGTCGCTCGCTGCACAATGGCCGGGWAAAACTAATGAGCGCCAGGCCGGGAATGGGAATGAGAAGCACGCGGTGCCGCTGGCGGCCGGGCTCCCCGCCGCGGCGCGCGGCGCTTGGAAGCCAGCCGCCTCCTGCGCTCTGCTCTTCATTTTCTCCCCCAATTCCCGCGGGAATCGGCTGCCGCTCGCAGCCTCTCTGGGCCTGTGTTTGTTCCCAGGATCATCCAGGAGGGATGGCGCTCGCTCCGGCCGCGCTTGGTGCCACGCGCTTGCTCCTCCGGTGCTTGTGCTAATGGGCCTCTTTTTCCTGGGGGACGTGGTTTTCCATAGCCCACTTTGCTAGAGCAAGGAGAGCCCATGAGGGCAAATCTGACCCGTTCGGGGGCCTGCAAGGTTCACCCAGAGTATAAAAATCCCTGATAAATCCCCACCCGCGCGGCTCAGCTGGGAACAATCACCCTGCACGAAGACAAGCGGGTTTGGGTGGGGTTTTTTTTTTTTGGCTGTGTTGTAAGGACAGAGCTGGCCCCGAGATATGGGAATCCTGCTGGGAAGCGGAGCCTGGCGCCCGTGCCGCTGCCGTCAGCGGCTGACACTCATCCCCTCCGGAGCCTCCTCGCCGCGGCTGCCTCACACAGCGGCATCTTCCTCCTTCCCGTCGGCAGCGAGGCAGGATCGGGATGGCGTTAGGAGCGAGTGGATTTGGGCAGCAGCTCCCAGGGCTGAGCTGGCCTTGCTGTCCCCATCCCATGGGATCGTGCCCGCTACATCCTTGCAGGATTTACATGGAGCATCCTGGTGCGGGACGTTGCTGGCAGCCATCCAGGGCACATTTCCTACCTGCTCAGTCCTCTGCAATGGCAGCTTCATCCTCCTCCTCGGCAGCAGAGCCTGCTCCTGGTCCGTGCCATGGGGGAAGATGCTGGGGCCRTATCCCTTCCTCCAGGCTCTGGCAGCGCCCATTCCTGCCTGGAAGATGAGGCAGCTCCGAGCTGGAGCAGCACCCGACAGGAGCAGGGCTGGATCCGCTGGAGTGCTGGACCTTCCTCCCGCTCCATGGGGACTGGCACAACAGGCAGCTCGCTAGGAGGGATCTCCCAGGGCTGTGGTCCGGTGGAATTTCCCCCCATCCCATCTCAGCTCATCTTTCCCATGGGATATCGTGCAGGCAGCAATTGTCTACCTGACAAAGAGGGTCCGTCCGCATCCAGAGGGAGCCGCGTTCCCGATGCTGTCGGCACRCGGAGCTGCTGCCAGGGCGGGACGGGCCTGGAAGCCCTGTTGGAAGCACCACAAACCTGGAGAAGCCCTGATGGTCCAGGGGGAGCCAGGGACGGAGGCATCAGCCTGGTGCAGGGAACGTGTGGGGACAGAGGCAGCTCCCGTTGGGCAACAGGGAGGCTCCGTGACTGCAGACGCGGCCGGAGCAAGCGCTTCCTGGCTCCCCTTGCGCTGCATCACCTGGAAGTGTGTCCTGGGGACACATCCCCATAGTGGGGACCAAAGGGGAACCCCTGGGTGCACACGGAGCCTGGACAGGAGCCATGTGAGCAGGATGATCCAAYGGGATATTTTTACCTCTTCTTTCTTCCTCCTTCCCCTGGAATTTGCAGTTCTGAAAGCCAGAGCACAAAGCACCTGGAAAGGTATTTCCACAGTGGGAATGGAGAAGATCAGCACAGCCCTGCAGGACAGAGTTCATCTCCCATCATCCATCCCGACCTCATTTTCCCCTTTCCCAAGACGAGAATCCTCCTCTCCCGAGCGCACGATTCCAGCGGACGGAGCTGCGGGTTTGCTGGGCACCGGGAACACCCACTGTACGATCCCAGAGAGCGGCAGAGGGAGGAAAACTCCAGCAAGGGAACGATGGAGACAACGGGAACAAGGCGGATGCCGGAATGGGGAGACGAAGATGAAGTGAAGGCRGAATTGGAGGAGTCAGGAGAGAGGCTGGGGAGAGGGAAGAGCTGGTGGTGGTGACGAGACAGGAGCACCATCTGCTCCGTGGCCTTTCCTTGCTCCGGCTCACTGAGACACGGCTCTGATTGCTCCCACCACCAGCACCCGCTTGGTCCCGGTCCCTGCAAGGCGGGAACCCTCGGGGGACACGACCAGACCCAGCCYGGACTCCTCCGTGCTCCCGAATCCTACCAGAAAGCTGGGAACACGCACAAGGAAAACCGGCAGCCGCAGGAGCAGCAGGGGATGCTGCYGAAATCCTGGGGGCCGTGCCAAGAGGCTGTTGCGATTCCTCCGGAATGAAGCACGGAGCAGGAAGGACAAATCCCAAGGGAAGCGGCAGCACGCGCCAGGCACCGCTGCGCYGCGTGAGCCCAGCTTTCCCACCCCGCAAGGCGGGACGGCGAGGAGCATCCCGGAGCATCCCGAGGCCACCTCCCCCGGGAGCCCCAGGGACATCCTGGCTGTCACTGCTCTTGCTGCGGGGCCAATGGCAAAGACTTTCCCACCCCATTCCCAACAAGGAAGAAGTATCCAGAAATATCCCTCTGGGGGCCCGATCCAGGCAACCAGGCAGGCTCCTTGGGGCAGGATCCGCACCACGGTCCACTTGTCCCCCCCATGCCGGTGGTCAAGGCCCCCAGTCCCTGGCCACGGTGGCCTCTGCAGCCACTCGGGATTCAAAGGGAAGCAGGGTAGGTGGGAGCCAAAGCGGGGTCCTGGGCTGAGGAGGGATCTAATGGATCTGGGAAGTTCCTCATCCTGATTCCCACCTCCATCCATGCAGACACCATTTATCCGGACAAGGAAGGGTTGTCCTAGTCGCTCCCCTACCACGGCATCCCAGTGGGATTTGCCTGCAGGGATCCCGGCAAGTCCAGGCATCCCTGGAGGCTGGGATCAAGCCGAGCTCATYGGTCCTGCAAAAAGAGCAGAAAAGAGAGGAAAAAAGAGCTGTTTTGGGATCCTGCCATGGGAAATGTCGCGGAGCAGCTGCCGGCAGTTGAGGATTGCAACGTGTTAATTATGCTGAGGATGGTGAAGGTACTAAATAATTCCCCTGTCCTGATGTGGGAAGGAGGAGCTGCTGGAGAGACGCTCCGGGAGGCCGTGGCAGATCCCAGGGGGACACAGGCATCTTGTTGCTCTCAGCTCCCTTGGGAATGAATTGGGACTCCCTTGGGAATCAAAAGCACTGCTGCAGAGGGGATGGGGGAGCTGGGGATTGGATCCAGTCCATGGCATCAGCCTTTTGGGTGGATACTGCACTTACCCCCTGGGGAACCCCAAAGGTCCCCAAACTAGAGGGGGAAAATGAGCAGAATCCGGCAGTTTTAGGTCCATCCCTCATCAGGAGACACTGCTGCCAAACCAGCACCCCACAAAGCCTGGATGAGAGTAGGTGACAGTGACAATCTCCCCGGGGACCCGTCACGTCCCCTCTGGCTCCATCCCAATAGAGCTGCTAGTCACGGCACTGATGCAAGTGCGTTTTTAACCGATTCTTCAAAATAAATAAATACCCCCACAAAACATCTGCCTTACCTGGGATGCAGATGTTTGCCTGGATGCTCATTTATTGGAGTGAAAACAGAGGATTTAGGCTGCTTCACAGRCCCTGTCCCAGAGCATCCGGGGGGAATGCTGCCCATCTAGGGCAGAAACGCACTGTTTGGCCCGCACATAATCCATTGGGAAGCAGCTGGTCTGGAGGAATTAAACCCCACCGCCAAACAGGAGCCTCTTAACGAAATTAGGTT